AACCAAACAACATTTACACAAAAGGACAAAGGAAAATTTCAACTTTGGCCAACAACTGAATGACGCCAGTTGTTCATGTTTTTGTTCCCTTTCTCTATCGGGTGCAGTAAATGAGAAGCTTGCTTAATGAGGCCGGGTTCAAGAACGTTCGCTGCAGAAACTCTTTGCATTTTTCAGGGGTTGGCAAATATCTGCGTACTTTACTTTAAGGTCTTAAGTAAAAACAAGTAAGAGGTTCTAGCGAGTTTCGCTTTTTGTGAAAAAAGTGTAAAATTCTCTCAAATATGAACCAAAATCTAAGGCAAATACGTTTCATACATTCATTTGCGCTTAATTTCCACACGTGCGAATGGAATTATCCAAAAAACAACCTTATAAATGACTTAATGGGCATCCTTAGGGTAACTTGTAAAAAATTCAGTCAGTGAGTCAGCGCAAACAGCTGTTTGTAGATGTATGTAAATATTTGCCTGTACATAATTATGTTTTGGCTGAACATGCGACATTTGTGGCTTAATTTAAAAGCTTTTACCAGTAATAATAACAAAAAAAATAACATTAACAAGAACAACAACAACGCGAAAACAAGAAAAATTTGAACTTTGCCAAGTTTTCATTATGCAAATTGGGCAAAGGCCGGCCGCGTTTTCGTTTTTTTTTTCTTGCCTCTAAGATACCATTTATAATTCGGCAGGAGGCAGAGGCAAAGGTACTTGCATATATTTTGTGTAATATGCATAAATATGTGAAAATGTGCATGTTTGTGTGCTAAGCTAATTGAATAATAATCTACTTAGGCGGATCCCAAGAGCAAAATTATGTACTTATTTTTGTCAATCTCTATTTATAAAACTGTTTGCCTTGACTGACTGACTGATTGATTGACAAACCTATGGTAGGAGATATAAAGCGGAAATCTTGCCTATAGTTAAATTAAGTTATGGTACTGTGAAGTTCCATCCACAGGCGTGTTAGTCATCCGTTCTCCAAATTCACTTGAGAAGTGTGCCACACCTTTCGTAAAAATTCGCTCTGCTGGGTAAAAAAATGAAGCTTAAAGTTTGTCTTGACAAATGTTTTTATCCTTGTCAGATTTGCTTTCAATTTCAAGTATCCTCTTATTTTTCTGCTCTGTACATCTTTTGTGCTATAAGTCAAGTGCATAAATAAACGCCCCCTCTATCTACGGCAAATAGAGGACAATCAAATAATTCTGAGTGTTCATGAGAATGTAATGGTAAGTAAATGTTTGCAAATGTATTATAAAATAAAATGTGTTTTTCTTGAAATGGGTTGAAATAATGGTAAGGCTCTTGGCCAGGCAAAACCCCAATAATATCTGATAGCAATTAATATATGTATGTATTCTCTATTAAAAATCAAATAACATAACTTATGCGGCTCACATAATGTTGAGTACGGCAGGGTGACAGATTCCGCCTGCACCTCTGCACATTGATTACAGCAAAGCTTTTGGCACCGACTGCGGTTTGATATTGTTGTCATGTCATGTGACAACATTGCGCAATAAATCACAAATGGTCGACATGATATAAAATGTAAAATTTCCTGAAAAGTCTATACAAATAAATTGCTCGACAGTCCGATAAAGTTGTCCAAGAGGATTTTAATTAATTTGCAAGCTTTTAATCGCCAAGCGCTTGGCCCCTAAAAGCAGGCAATATTTTTAATTCCTTTGTCATCCAACTGATTTATGGCTGACTAAAGCAATCGCATTGCCATAGTCTATATACATACATGCATATGCATATAAGTCGATACATAGATGTTTGCATATGAGGGTACACTCAGAGAAAAATGCCTTCAATCTCGATCCTTGAAAATATACACAAATATTTGCATTCAATTTTCATTTGGACCTTTTTGAAGAGTAGATGCAGATTATCATTAAAACGTATTTATTACTAATTACATTACAAAACAGTTGTTACTTAAGCTGAATATCTTATTCCATGTAGATAATGTTTTCGACTGATGCAATATCTAAACTGGAGGATTTAAAAAATAATAATGTTCATATTATTTATCAAGCTGGGTCTCCTTCGTGAGCTTCAGGTGAAAACCTTCATCATATAAGAATTTCATTCACGTCAAGAAATTCTCATCTGCAACCCGCATACTAAGTTCTTGATTTCTCTCTGGCTGTACGTTTGTATGGGCGAGTGAAATGAAGCACAAGGTCAACAGCTCAAACAATGGGCAACAATAACAAGTACAAAGTCGCGGCAAGTTCGTCGCAATTCCAACAAAAACAACCAGCTTCAAATAATGTGGGTCGACAATGTAGCCGCACAAAGATACCCTGTAACTATAACCAACCTATAAAACTATAGAACCGTGGAGCTAAGAAGGTTAAATGTTACTCGGTGAACCTTATGGGATGAAGGGAGAGTCGATGCGAAGTGTGGAAAAGTTGAGTTGCACGACACTTTTTTTCCATTAAATCTGCCTAAGGCGCATTTCCAAAAATCTTTGTTTAAATTCATCTGATACGTGTTTCACACTTTTCAGAAAATCCACTCCGTTTTTGGCGTAAACGAGCGTCAAAGATTTGTTAGGATAAGCTTCAAACTCAAACTTATTTCCAAGGATCTTTACTTGTAAGTTGATCCTTCGACCTTAGACTTCAGACATCACAACAGTAAAATGGACGGCCAGAGCTGACTCCCCCCATGATAAAATAGCGAGAGATGCAAAGGAAAATTTATGTCTGAAATTGGGCCGGGCAAGGCAATGAAATATCAGCTAGTATAAAATAATTGAATAGTTACTATAAAGATAAAATGGACGGAATTGAAATATTTAACTGAAGGGTATATCAAAATTGTTAGACATACATGACTGAATACGAAATGCTGCTGACATATGTTAGATACGACCCTAGAAACAGGAAATAGTGAGGCACGATTCAATGGAAGGCCGGATGTGTGGGTAAGTGAATGAACTGATGACTGCTTCTGCTGGTTGCTGTCTGCTCTGTCAATAACGAACGAGCACACACTCAAACGCAAATACACACACACACACACACACACACACACACACACACACACACACACACACGCAAACACCTGCATACATGCTTGAGTGTATGTGTGCACAACTCCCTGACATGCCAGTCGCATGTCAAATGATTCGATTTTCATTGGGGAAAAAAATAACTTTGCACCGTGGAAAAATAATGCGAATCGAGAAGCGAACTAGCGATAGGAAGCGGAATGTTAGGATGTTAGTGCAATCCTGCTGATCAGTTTGACATCTGAGCTCACTGCGTCCCGCTAGTGTTGACATATCCAGCCATTGTCCTGTCACTTATCAAGCGTGCAGATGAAAAACTGCAATTTAATATTGCAATAGGTTGTGACACAAGGATACGATTTTCAGATTATCCGTTTTTTCGATTTCCGAACTCTTACTAATATTTTATGACTGTAATTCATTCACGAGTTTTGAACCAAGAAATATCCATTTAAATTGAGCGTAAATAAGCTAGATCTGTGTTTTTATCATGTTCGTATCAGCTGCGAGACATGCTCAAAACATTGATTATGAAATTTTTTGATCGATTTATTGAAAAGGAAGGAAGTTTTTTAATAATGGATTGCTGGATCTAGAATCTATAGAAGGGCAGACCCAAGTACGGAAAGGCGGACCGACAGTTGGATAGACAGACAAGACTGGACTCCATTGTTGAGGCTGATCAAGAAAATATACACTTTATGGTGGTTAGAGTTGCCTCTGTCTGCCTGTTACACGGAATTGCGAGCAACAGTTTCAATGGGTTACCTTTTGGCTTAAGCCCTGACTATTTGCTTTCCTAATTGCGTAGCTTGGTGCTTGATGTCAAGTGATATCATGCTTTGTGCTCGAGCACACACTCGTGTCTAATTTAAAACCATTGCTCAGCGTCAGCGAACGATGCAAATTAACATGCACGTCAGCATCAGGCTACCAAGCTGAATCCTCCTTTGGCCAGGATGCCAGTTGGGAGTGGATGTGGTGTGGATGCGCTTGACGCATTTGCTTATCTGATTTGCGGTACTTCTGCGAATACGGCCGTGAGTGGCATAACGAGCATGGTTACGAGTTCTGAGTTGCATGTATCATGGCGACCAACTACGACAAATAAAGCCGGATGACGTTCGCGGCAGAGCGAATTATGTTTTCACATCAAATCTGAAATGAGTAATCCTGCGCGCACACACACATGCATACATAGGCACACGCATATATGGCTATAATCTTATATAATATGACATTCTCATGCACATGGAAATGTCATCGTCTGTCTGCCCACATGTCAAAATGTTCCCACCCACATGCACCACTCATGCATACTTGGCATTTATTTATAGAGTTAGCGAGAACAGCAGGAGCTAATGTCATTTGCATAGCGAGTGGGCTTTGAATTGACAGATGATGCAGACAGGAAACGACAATTTTGATCGAGTTTGACAGCTCTCCAGGGAGTTGAAAGGAATATGTAAAATGAAAACTTGGCTAGATGGGTAAATGATTTAAATTATTAACAGTCACTTTAATAAAATTGAGTCAACTTCAATCCATTATATGGGTAAAGGGATGTACTAGCATTATTAAAAATAGATTTACTTCCGGCGGCAAACTTGCATCACCTGCAATTCTGAGCCAACTACTTGTCTTTTCCTCAAACCTTGCGGCCATACTATGAAATAAATTTCTATATCCTACACTCCGGCTAAATATCTAAATAGTTTCTCTTCATTGTAAATAACCAATAATTGTAAATATCATATAAGGACAAAAGGACCTAATCGATTTGAGCACAATTCTTTTTAGATTTCGTAGAATAATAAAATTGTTCACAGCTTACAAGTTCGGTATATGATAATTATTAATGATTCAACTGATTAAAACATTTAAATTTAAAGAGAATAATAAAAAATGAAAATGTTCTTGAAATATATTAGAAAGAAAACAAAGTACACACAGGCGACATTTGACAGCATTAACATTAACATTTTAAATTGTGTTCAAGTGAGTTGTAAAAAGAGTAAAATATTTACAAGGGAATATACAACGATATAAATATAAACACTTAAATATAAGGTGTTAGGTGAGAGTATATATAAATTTTTTGAAATTATTTGAAGAGTCTTCAGCTGTTTGAAAAATTTACTTTCCCAATAATTAAATAGGCTATTAAAACGTGTATATCAATAAAAATTGTGAGTATAAAATGCGGTATAAAGCGATTTTTGAAGCAAACGTGTTGAAAGTGTCTTGATTTGTTTATTTGTTTCAATTAGGAGATGATTATGAACATTTGTTAAATACAAGGGCAAGCATTTGCAATTGGATATGGATGTACGCATTCACATATATGTATGTTATGTATATTATGGAGACAAATGGAATTCAGCACTTACGTAAATTTGTACAAATAGCTCAGCGAGTTGGCTTATTAGAGGAAATGGAAAGTGCCGCTTGTTGAATTTGAATTAGCATTGGGCAAACAGTTTGCACAGCTTGGACAGTATGCACAATTCATAGATATACGCGTGTATCTGTGTGAATATTATATGCTAATTGGCATGCATCTGTGGAGCAGCAGCCTTCAAAAATTTTGGTATCGCCGGATGGGTCCCGGTGTCGGGCAAATGGCGTGTGACGTGGTGAACAGAGCGCTAAACGAGCCCCAATACAAAGGCAAATACAAATACAAAGACAAGTCCAAACACAGACAGAGACACAGACACAAACACAGGCGCATATACGGAACAGACTTGAACATAATATATATAAAACAGTTGGCATATAAACGTTTCTAAGCGTAGACAAACATGACGTAAACCTCCAAAATGTATGCTTGCTTATTTTTCCACATTTCCACAGTTGTTGTACGCGAAGAACAGCGTTCCTATAAAACGTTCGTGATACGTTGCGTATAATTATTTTGTGCGTTTGTGTTTACTGGAAAAAGCCACAAAAGATTTTGATTTAATAAAGTCGATTTTGTTATTTAAGGCGACGCGCGGGGGCGTGGCAGTCAGACACAGCGACGACATCAAGGACATTTAATAAGGCGCAGCGCACACAAAGAGCAACAACAATAGCAAAGAGCAACAACAACAAAAACAACAAACACATCAACAAAGTGTGTCACCCAGAAAGCACACATGGACACGCACACACACACACACACACACACACACACACACACACACACACACACACACACACACACACACACACACACACAGAAGCTAGCCAGCAGGAAATGCCATTAAAATAACGGGTCACGATCAAAATGCCAACGGCAACCGAAGCCGATGTCGATTGCTAATTAATCGACTCAATCAACGAAACGTCGGCCAAAGGCGATTACACAACACTGCAAAATGCAAGTGCAGCTGCGTCGCCAAATTCACTTTCACTTTCACGCGTGCCGAAACTGACACGTAAATGATTAGCTGGTTCTTGACTTGGCTAATTTCAAGCGCAAGTTGCTATCTATTGCTGTTGTTGCTGTTGCCCTTTTTATTTAAATATTATTATTAAGTATTTTTACATGCGCCCACAAAAAGCGACGTCTGTTGCGCACGAGAGCCGAGGACGGACTAAGCACGAGCCGTCCAAATGATTCGAACGTGAGTCGAAGGACTCGCGACTCGTTTCGGCTTCGTTGAGCCAAAATACGTTTGAGTGAGTGTAAATACCCTATATATTTCAGTAAAAATACGCTTGTGCATGACACAGACAGTCAACTTAGTATTAATTATTTTTATAAATTATTGACTTGTTTGCTGATTTGATTAAAACTTAAAATATTGCATTTTAATTTGACATGGAGTATACTAAAAATACTCTATATTTAAAAGGAAGCTGTTATATATTAAAAAAGGCACTCAGAACTATAATACTAACAAGAAACTCTGAAGTAAACTTTGAATCTATAAACTGTTTGTGCTTACAAAATACAATGTATAGAAAAGGGCATTTAACTTTTCGAATGACACTTAAAACATAGTGTAAGGTACTCTGCTGTTAAGAGTCCTGTGCGTAAAATGTTTGTTCTTTTCTTTATTTCTTTAATTTTTTCTAGTCTCCTGCTGCTTGCCGCTTGCAGTTTTCGGTTTTCTTCTCAGTTTCTGTTGCGGCCAGTGCGACAAGTCACATTTCCGGTTTCCGTTTTGCATTAATGTCGACAAGCTATCAAGGAGTCCGTAGTGCCAATTGCCAACTCGCAAAGGCAATAGAAATATTGTGCAATTGCCAAAACTCATTTAATTTGCATACAATGTTCGGCATGAAAATGAGCGCCCCACGGAGGCTGCCAGGTGCTAAGGCTGGGCGTTGGGCAGGTGCTGAGACTGGGACTGAGGGCTGAGGGCTGGTTAGCACGCCCGAGGTTATTGGGTGCAAATGAGCAAAGTTGAGCGTCCTCATTGTTTATGAGTCAGGCGCTGTTAACTGGGTATGAAAAGCGTACAAAAAAGGAAAAGGACAACAACAAGAAAACACATGTCTCGATGCTGGCAGCAACCTGTTGGCAGTGCGTTGTATATAAATCCGAGTGTGTGTCTAACTTATGCTGCCACTAAAACAAGGCCAAAGGGCGTATCGAATGCTGTTGCTCCATTCCCTGGTTCCACTAGTGCGTAATTAATATCACTGCTGGCAATTAACATTTATCAATAATTACTCGCACACTAATTAAATACCTGTCAACAGTATACGTTTCTTTCTGCATTTAAATCAATTCTGTAATATATAATTAAAGCGATTATTTTTATCAAATTATAGACCAAATACTAAAATTCATGAATAAAGTTGTTTAAAGCTCAAATGCATTACGTGATGCAAGTAAGGGAGGGTGAAAGTTTAGTTCATGGAAATCTCTTATTATGACTGCTTGCGATATATTAAATCTGCTTGAAATCGATAAATATCGTTATCGTTATGCTGCTTTTTGAACATATATCGGATTTCCTTACAGCTAGATTAGCCTAGCATATCGATCCTATATAAAGTCAAATTCAGCATACCTTCCTCCTTGTGGAATAGTTTGGCATAGCTTCGATATTTAAACACACTTGGATGCTATATAAGGTCGGAGAATAATTATATTTAAAATATCAAACTATTTCAAGGAGCCATTAAAGATAGAAGAATCTTTGTAACGATAAAATACCGCCAGATTCGGAATTTCTTAAAGTCGGACACTCTCTCTCCTTCGAAGCGAAGCGAACTTTGAGCTTAATAATTCCACGTGCTGTCTATTATATATAAATTATATTTGTATGTAATTTACAGCGCTTAAAAATGCGTTTTTTAAGACATGGGAAAATATTGTTAAAACTTAATTTTTGCAATTTTTTTGTTCAAATTTAATTATTTTGAATCAAGCTTTTCAGTTGAAAGATCAAATTCCATCAGAGATACAACTCTGGATAACTTGCGAACGATATTTGATTACAGTTTAGATATTTTAATAAGCTCAGCTAAGCACAATTGTAGAAGTTCAAATGAAGCAGTTAATGTTATAACAGGTAAAGGGGTTTTTTTAACACATCTGAATACGATCTGCTGCATAAAAAAGCTTTTTACTCAATTTGTTTGGGTTGTAAATTATTCTGCTTAACGAGTTCGTTTTAATTAACCGCATCATAAAAACTGCCAATGTAAAGCTTTTAGAGTAATGTCTTTGTAAATGCTCAGGTGTTTTTTTAGGGCAATAAACATGAGATCTCTATATCTGACTGATTGAAAGACTAGCAGACTGATTGAGTGACTGACTGATGATTGACACACGTTAAGCTGAAAGCTTGGACTGTATTCTTCATAATAAGAAAGCGTTTGGGAAAGCTACTTATTCGTTTTTTATCCATAAGCCATACTCAAAATTTAACGTTCCCGAAAGTGGTTTCCTTTCATCTGAACTCTGTCAAACTCATTTTCTAAAGTCTAGTTTTGTAGATAAATAAAGTATTTAATTTCTAATAAACTGTTCTTACTGCTAATCAGCCAAGTGCTAGTTGGCTGTTTGGACATTTTGTCCAATATGTAGGAATTATTTCCGCCGCCCCGTAGCCTCAATTGTTTAGAGCGTGAGTGTCGTCTGGATCCAGGGCAAATAGGTGCCCACATTGACGTAGACGCCGGGCACATTTGCCTGGCCGCAGCCAATGCCCCAGGCCACGAGCCCAACCACATACCAGACGCCATTGCTGGTGCAGACGAGCGGCGAGCCGCCATCCCCAGTGCATGCATCCTTGCCAGCCTCGCCGCCGGCGCAAATGAAGCTCGTGGGGCTTAGCACAAAGGAGGCGCCCAGGCGTGTGGCTTGCAGCGCCGTTTGGCAGTTGGCATTGGGAATCAGAGGCACATCCACTTGACGCATAATGGCCTGGTAGGCGCCCGTGGGCCCAAAGTCATTCTTGCCCCAGCCAGCCACCCAGCAGCGCTGGCCCACGAAGTTGGTTGCGGGCAGACAAACGGTGCCAATTGTGGAGCGACTCGTGAGGGAGACGGGCGTGGCTAGCTTCAATATGGCCACATCGTTTTGTAGATTGTTGGGATTGAAGGCGGGATTCACGTACACATTGGAGACGAACACATCTTGCGCAGGTATTGGCTCGCTAATACTGGCCGCATCCCATTCGCCCAAGCGCACCTTAAAGGATGTCAAACTGTTAACGATTAGCAGAGTTCTGTGCCGAGCGAAGCCAGCTGCACTTACGCCAAATTGTAGACCTTGTGGGCAGCAGTCAAGACATGCTGTGCTGTGATAAGTGCTCCGCCGCCCAGATACACATCCGCCGTGGTCAGAAGCGCTGCCTGCCAAGGATATGCACCGAAGCTGGCCTGGCCCGGTCCAGCCAGTGCCGAGCCCGCCGGCGGCGGAAATCGCAGTCCGCACAGATAGCTGCCAGCCTGGCAGCATGCTACAAGTCCATAGCTGCAGGAGAGAGGCGTCGATGACGTGGGACTCGTGGCCTAGAAACGCAGTAAGAATTATGCCCGAGTACGTTTGGGCTTTTCGTCAAATGGCTCACCAGTCCGCCATTGTTCACTATGCGTATGTCCAGTTGACCGCTGCCATCGTTTGGCAGCGAGGGCAGCGGATTGGGGCAGGAGCCCGACGGCACGCAACGGCAATTACTGCTGCCAGGCGCCACAATGGAGGGCACAGAGGGCCAGCCAGCGGGCGGCACCTGTGGCGGCACCAGTGTTCCCACAATCAGCTGTCGCGTGAGCACTGCAAGATGTCCTCGCAGTCGAATTAGTGGCTCAAATAGCTGTTAGCACTTTCACTTACGCGTGTGATTATCCGTATTGGCCGCATCGCTAGGCTGCGGTGCGCTCTGCTCCGACAGGGAGCTGATGGCGCCAAAGCTCCAGCACCGAACACCAACAGCGAGCAACTGCAGCAACAGGCTTAGTATTGGTAATGCATTCATCGCCTACACGGTGGCAACTAACTTGGCCAAGTGATGTGCCGCTTGGCTATATAGGGCAGCGCCCTAAGCGGACGTCCACCGATAAATTAACTACCAAATGACCTCAGTGTAAAGCTAGCCTCAACTCAGGGATTTTCCGAGCTGCATAACACAAAAACGATTTCAGTAATAAAAGAGAACAACAAGTTAACAACGAAATTTCAATGCTCTCACATGAGGTTTTTTTTAGCAGGTTTTTCAAACGTTTGCCTGAAGCTCTTGATGAAGATTAATTAACAAACAATGCAAATATTTTTATGAGCATATAACTGATTATTATTTCTGAGAGTTTCCCAATGATAAATGAATATTGATTTATGTTAGCAGATCGTTTTGGTTCTAAGAACTCTGAGTAAGCTATACAAAAAAATGATCATTTATTAATGAAAATATCAAATTATGAAAAGTCGAAATATTGTTGAGTAAATATTTTATACTATTTTGAGCTTCGTTAACAAAATTAAATTAGTTACAGAAATACTCAAAAATAAACAACGCTATGAATATAATTATAGGCAAGAGGAAGAGACAATGAGCGAAATGTTAGGAAGTAGATAAAGTCATCTGATCTATATTTATTTTAATATATTTACATTGTAATTATTAATTATTATTATTATTATATATTATTATTATTAAACTGTTTTTGTTATTTTTACGATTAATACTTATATTATTATCAAGTTTAATAAACCCCCGGAATTTAATCTAAATTTGTATATTTTTTTCCAATTTATAATCCGTTTTCTAATTAGAGATTTTTATTTCCGTTTACATTTATTTATTATTAACTATAATGTATAATGTATGATAATGTTACGAAGCTTGCATTTGAGTGCATAGATCGAAGGGTACAAAAAGTGTCATCAGTGCGTTCAATTTATGTGCAAATAAATAATATGTGTGTGTGTAAAATTAAACAAACTAACGACCACCCACAACAATGAATACACTCACATCAATTCTGTGGATGAACACACACAATGTTAAATGTGTTGTGTGTTCCATGTGAGGTCTTTGTGTATTAAATAAATTGCGCTGACAAATTTGTGGCGATTATTTTACTTCGGTTTTCATATTCATTGTGCTGGCTGTGATAATTTTCGCCCCAATTTTGATTCGATTTTTAATAATTTAATGGTTTAATTGTACAGATATGCACGAGTCTGAATGCTTTAATAATAGTTGTTGCTGCTGAACGCTTAACACTTTCCGCTTGCCTTCCAAACATTCGTGTGCACCCAACTAAAACACTTTTGGTCTGTAAAGCCTCAGGAAATTTTCAGATAAGGTTGTCAAAGCTTAAGCTACGAAACTTTTGCTTTATCAGCGAGCCCGAGCAAAACTGAAACTTTCAACTACTCTTAACCCTAAACAGAAATACTAAAAATACAAATAGAGAAAGAGATCGAATGTTAGGGCTTACAATGAAGCTAATATGTAACGGGTTTTGTCAAGATAGCTTCTCAAACAAATACAAAATTAAATTTTTCGACCGATTCTTACTATAGACCTATAAGATTTAGAGATAACCAGCCTTGATCAAATAAAGCTCTTATATAAAAATCACACTAAGAGTCATAAATGCCAGCTTTTGTCAAGATATCTGAAATACTAAAATGTCTTTTAGGTTAATAATTTATTTTTAATTTATTTTCGACCGATCGTTCTATTTATAAAATACAGAAAACTTAATAAATAAACATCTTAATAAAAACAAAAACTTTTTACTTCATTTGGTTGTTAGTTGTCCAGGGAGCTTGGGCCTATGTTAGGTTATATTTGTTTGCTTTCATTATCAACTTTAAGATTATTAATGGACTCGAGATTTCAATTTGAAAAACAACACTCGATTTAAGTACAAAATTCTTAATTTTTTCTGTCTGTGTACTATTTCTTGAAAACGCTTAACACCCTTCAGCCGCTCGATAAACATTTGTGTGTATCTAAAACTCTTTTGGGCTTTAAGACCCCTGAAATGTTAAGCCAAGATAGTCAAAGTTCTAAATGTGAAGCTTTTGATTTATCGACTAGCGTGAGCGTTGACTAACTAGAAATTTGAGTGTTATTACCAATCGAAATGTTCAGCGGTTCGGGTCACGTTCAATTGGACTTCTCGGCAATACCAAAGTTGTATGGCCCGGAGAATTTCTGGCACTGGCGTATGCTCTTGCGCGCCTACTTGGAATCAGCTGACCTGTGGCGGGATGATCACCCAAAGGAGGTAGGTTCAAGTCTTACCAAAAAATCAGAAAAAAAACTACATTATTGTATATATTTTTTGTTTACAGAGCCCACATGCAAAATTTATACTTTTGGCCACTGTGCAGGCTGACAAGATTGAGCCAGGATATGATGATGAGTCACCCAAGCAAATATTTAAGAGCCTAGAGGAACGATTCCGTCCATATTAATGAGAATAACAACATTTTTCTCTTAATAGCTTTTCTTTTAACGCATATTTAATTTTTCGCCAGTCCCTGTCAGATGAAATAAAATACAAATGTTAATTAACAAATAGTCCGAATGAAGTTTCTTAGCAGAAATTCAAGCAAATTGCATTCAGTTGACTTCGATATTCCGAAGAACTATTTTTTTTTTTGGGTAATGGGCATTGAAAGCAGTTTAAAAAGTTAGAATAACGTTTCGTTCATATTTTTGAAAACTATTTTTTGTTTCTCCATAACATTGCTTTTAATGTACTCAAGTTTTTTTCATTTTCAGGGCTTAAACAGGCCTTTTTAAATCAAAACAATATATAAATTAATATAAATATGAATTTATAACTAATGCAAATGCCTTTTTTTGGTAAAGGTTCAAGCAAGTTAAGTCCACTTGAATTCATAATTCAGGTTCCCAATATCCCAAAGCTATATGATGGTAATAACTATTGGCAGTGGCGAGTCCTTTTGCGTTCTTATTTGGACACTATGGGACTGTGGTGTGGCAACTGTCCAGATGAGGTATAATTCATTAATTCATTTATTAATATGTTCGTGTATTTATCTTTTCTGTATGCAATAGTGTCCCACGAGCAAGTTTATTCTATTAAGTACATTGGAAACGTGGCTTATATTGCCGGAATATGAAACTAAAACAGCGGGTGATATATTCAAAGATTTAGAATCCCGTTATGGAACCAGAAAATGAAATGGATATTTGGTATTTTGGCCTTAATAAGTGACATTTTAAAAATAATTAAGTTTTAATAATTCGCTTTGTAATTGATTCATGGATTTGAAACTATTACATTCTCTTTAAGCCATAACTTTTCATTGCCTTTTGAATAATGGATTAACATGACAATAAAAGCCATCGGTTTTGCTATATGATTGACAACATTCCTTCATTTCGAAGAAATGCAATGGATTTTAGAGGAGTTGAATGCACTGGCAACATTTTAAATTTATATTCGCGCCAATAGCAATGTTACATGAAGGTGGCTGCGCGCAAATTTTTAACTCTCGTGCGGTAGGCTCTGCGCATTTTTGCGTCAACTCGAAGTTGGCTGTGGAACTTGGCCGATTTGCGTTGTGGAACTGGCTCATGAGCAGATAGCAAGACATAAATGAAAATAAATTACAAGAAACTGGTAAACAGGTAAAACATAAAGAGTGCGCAGTGATTAAATTCTTTAAACAAGCGCCGTTTTTGCGCAGCATTTTACTGCACCTATTACCTATAATCTAACAGGCTGGCAGCCTTTGCAATAGGGTCACACTTGAATAAATTCGATTGAAAGTTATCGGTATATGCCTATCGCATTATCGATACAGTCGTTCGGCTGCTTTCAATAACAGTTGCATAGCAGAAGTCAAACCGAAGAGTAGACCGGAGCGCGTGTGCTCATATTTGTTTTCAAACCAAACGTTAGTGTTAAAATACACATTTATGACGCTTGATACAAACTAAAATGCTAAATTTATTAAATACTAACAACGAAATGGTCGCGTACTAAGGGACTAAAAACGACTTACACCAACCAAAACAAAAGCAGCGCGAAAAGCAAAATCAAAAAGTCAAAGCAGGCCAAGAAGAAGAAGCCAAAACAACGCGACATCGACACCTGTTTGCCTGCATTCCTGAACCTGTGCAACACTGGCTATTCGTGTGTATGTGTATGTGCATGTGATCGTGTGTAGTTACAGAATAAGGACTAGCCAACGAATTCTATTCTTTAAACAGTGTTTAAATAATTAACAATTTGTTTGGCCACTGCTGCAATTGCAACATTTAACAGCCAATCGTCGTTGCCCGCCGCCGCGCCTGCGCAAAAGAAACAGCTAACAGCAGCAGCAGCAACAACAGCAGCAACAACAACAACAAGATAAACACAAACACACACAAAAACCGGTTAGAGCGAGACACACAGAGACAGCACGAACACAGTTACAAACTACAAACTACTCACTCGCATAGTTAGTGTTCGTTTTTGTTTGGTTTTGCTTGGAAAACAGAAATAGAAGGAAACACACAAAGCAAAACAACACAAGAAGAAACGAAGAAATACACGCAGTAGAAGAAAAAATCAATTGCAAGTGGTGAAAAGTGTGAACGTTACAAAGAAAACAAAGCGGCAATTCACACGAAATAAGAAATTAGAAATAATTTGTGCCGTACGCGGAAACTGGGCACCAAAAAAAAAGGAAAAAAATGTTTACATAAGGGTTAATGCCCAAGTGCCCTCTTATCGCCAAAGAAAGTGAATTAAAGCCACAAATAATTGTAACAGTAATTGCCCAACCAGTTTCTAGAGTCCCGCCCTTATCACAAACGCGCCATCACCTGTTGACCAATTTGGTGAGTAAGCTTTTGTTTTTCATTTTTGGTTTTTATTGGTTTATCAAAATATTACCTGTGCTTCTCACCTGCCTTATTGTTTGTCTCTGCTCAAGATATTCGCTCTGCACTTGCTCTCGGATCATTGATCAACATTTCAGCTAGCTCCAAATGAACCACAAAAGCTCAACTTTCAC